ATGATTCCAGGATTCTGTGCTGGCTCCTGGTCGAGGATCCCAGACTGGGAGACAGGGGTGGTGTCACCCCGGCTGGACTCAAGGACCTCAGAGATCTCTTCCCACCTTAATGACTGGGATTTCAGGAATGCAGAGCCCCCTATTCCCACTGCTTGGCTCGCTCTGTATTTTCCAGCTCAGCCCCACATTTATATCAAATCAGAAACACGCTGGAATTGCATTTGCCCCACGGAAGATTTTATGGACGGTGGAGAAACCCGAACAGAATTTAGTGACATGATTTTTTTCTATGGAAATGCCACTTTGCCGCGCTGATTCCTGTCAGTACCCGGTGAAATGCACGTCAGGAAATGGAATATTTGCCAGCGTGGGATGCGGGGCCGTCAGTCCCGTCTGGCACCCGCCATATGGGGCTGCGTTCGCACGGGGGGCTGCGGGAGGAGGAGGACACGGGCTGAGGTGTTGAGGCTTCGCAGAGCTGCAAACGGGACGGCAGAACGGCCTCGTTAATTCTGGGGAGAGCACAATTAATTCCCCTGCCCGGGGGAGCTGCTGTCAGCAGAGCCAGAGACTGTCCCTGTGCCCTGTTTGAGCAGGAATTGGGCAGAGGATTCGGGCTGGGACAAGCCCGGGCTCTTCTTCACCCAGGGGGTTTAACCGAGAAAACAAAAAAGGACAGAAAATATATAAAATCTCCCAAAATTAGCCGAAGAAAAGGTGCTGAGGGGCTGCGCGGTGTGAGCTGGCAGAGAGGACACGCAGCTCTGCCCTTTTCAGGATCTTGCCATGAAAGTTAAAACCACCCTGGAAAACGAGGGGGCGTGGGGGGAGAACGAGGCATCCCCAGGATTTGGCAGGAGCAAGAACAGGGAATCACCCCAGGTGTCCCACCTGTCCCTGAACAGGGAATATTCTTCCTGAGAGCGCCTGGGGACGTGCGAGTCCCTCCCGGAGGGAGGATGGGGATCCCCAGCCTGTCCTTATTGCTCCGCCTGGAGCCTCTTCCCAATAGTTTGGGAAATGCCATTCCCAGCTTCCCACCCGGGCAGAGCCAGGGCAGGGTGTGGAAGCAGCAACCTGTGCAGGCCAAAGTCTGCAGCCTTTTAGCCACGGATCGCTCCCTGCCTTGGAAGTGGTTTCTGTTTGTTTTAACACTTTCCCCTTCTATCTCCTGCCTTTTATGCGCGGCTTTAAATCCGCGTTAGTGAATAGGTCCTTACTGGAGTCATTAAGTTCCATTCAGCTCATCCAAAGGCAATCCATTAGCTTTATTTGTTGCCTGGTTCCCTTATCTGCCCCGATGTTATCTGCCTGTTCCTGTTGTAAAAGGAAAGTTTCCTTATGGAGAGGAAGAAAGCGGTTTGCCCAAGGCAGAGGTGCCTGTTGTTCTTACCCTGACCTTCCCGAAAGCCGGGAGGGTTGAAACCTCGCCAAAACAACCTCCTCACCCCCCCTAAACAAGGCTGCGAGAAGACGGGAATGTGGGATCTGTTGGATGCTCTCACTGAAAAAAAAAAAAGGGAATAAGTGATGGAGGGAGGTGAGCGCAAAAAGCAGAACAGGCGGGATGTGCCAGGGGAATTTAGGTTGGATATTATGGAAATTTCCACCCCAAAAGGGTTGTCCAGCCCTGGCACAGCTGCCCAGGGCAGTGGGGGAGTCACCACCCCGGAGGGGTTTAAAAACTACGTGGGATTTTTGACTTTGGAAGTTGCAGCGGGGAAAACATCCCTGGCTCAGCTTCTCCAGAGGGGGATTTTTAGCAGGAGCTACTTCTCGTGGTTTTTCCAGCCTAAAACTTCGATCTGCAGGACAGGGAGGTTCGGGGCGCACAGCGCAGCGTGTCCCGAGTCCTCTGTGCTGCCAGAGCTGCCCTGATCATTGTTGGCACATCCCAGTGTCCCAGCGAGGACTTCTGGGATGGAGAGCTCGTCTTTCACGCTGCAGCCACTTGAGGAGTCTGATCCTCCTCCTACCTCAAGTGTTTTTTCCTCCCGTAGCCCATAAATCTCCCCCTGCCCTCAGGGAATGTGGGCAGGTCCCTTGTTTGCTCTTCCATCCGTCACCATTTGGAACAGGGGCGGGTGTTGTCCCAGCTCCTCCTCGGGAGAGGCTCTGACAAACTCCGTGAAATGAGTTTATCTCCCCCCCGTTGCCGAAGTTTGGACCAGGAATCGCAATTTTGCAGATTTGAAGTCAGAAGGCTGAAGGGATGTTATCTCAAAATCTATTTAATCCTCCTGTATCAACCCAAAGAGATTTTTTGGGGGGGTAGATGCTTCTCACCTGGTGTTTTCCATATTTCCTGTTGTACACAAGGCTCCCGTTCTCCATTTCCATCTCCCCAGGTTCCTCTGCCTCCCGTTTCTGGCCCTGCCCCGAGGCCAGGGGAGGTTATTTTGGCGATTAAACCGATTGAGAAATTGGTTTATCAGTGCCTTGTACTGGGGGCTTCACCTTCCAGGAGATCTTGGGCTGAGAGGGACCTCCAGAAGGTCTTATATTCCTGAATCAAATGCCCCAGGGAATTCTGGAAGCTGAAGCTGCTTTGTCCTTTCAGTGTAATTCAGGATTTGGGAAAGAGCTTCTGACAGATCCCTCCTGGTTCCATTCAAAGCAGCAAATGCAAAACGCCAATTTAGGGAACCGGTTGGAAAAATAAATACAAATTAAGCTTTTTTTTTTTTCTTTTCATGTAAATTCGAGCACTTAAAGCCCCCACTTTCCTCTCCTCAAAAAAAAACAAACTTTAAAAGCTTTTTCAAAGCTCAGTTTCCAATCTACATATTGATGGGGAGGGGAAAAAAAGGGATTTAAATTCCGTTCTTCTAAGAAAGAGCCTGGCAGGCTGCCTGTGTGGGGATGAGAGCTCTCAAATATTTGTGCTTTGGGTTGGACTCATTAAACTCCTCTAACCAGAGATGTTTCTCCCAGCCCTTGAAGCTGGAAAAAAACTGCTGATGCCTTCAAAAGGTGGAATTAGGAATGCCTTTGTACATTAAGCTTTTTAGATATTTCAATTTTTCTCCCGGGTTGAGTTTTCTACTTTTTTTTTTTAACGCTAGAAATGACTCATTTGAATAATGGAGGCAAGCCAATAACCTTTCTGATTATTTGAAAGGTCGTTCTGCAACCTGAAAGCAGCGTGGCTTTAATGATTTAATGCTGATGGCAGATGGGTCAGGAGGGGTTTCAATGTGTCCCGTGGCTTCAATAATCAAAATCTCTCTCCCTGTGTGATATGGAGATCTGGATAAAGGGGTAGAGAGGGTGGATTTTTGCTTTCTTCTTAGGAGAAAATAACTTTTCCAGCATCAGTGTGGATTAACACAAGCCAAAGAGGGGAAGGAGAAGTTGTAAAATGAGTTTATCTCCTCCCTGTTGCCTAAGTTTGGCCCAGTAATTGCGAATTTTGTAGTTTTGAAGTCAGAGAATTAAAGGTATTCTGTGGGTTGTTTTGTTTTTTTTTTCCTGGCAATAATTCCAGCTGGGTCAGGTTTTTTTTTCCTTTTTAATTACAGTCAGTGTGGATGGGAGTGAGGTAAAACTTCAGGAAAACTGCTGGATTCTGAGGAATTCTGAGGGCTGGCAGTGACCAGTCAGCTCCAGCATCTCCAGAGGTTCTCCAGCAATTCCCTGCACCCACACTGGGAGTTCAGCTGCAAAATCCAGGTGGGAGAGGGATGACTTAGAAGTAGAAAAAGGATTTTGAGCTCTAAACGTGGTTTTAAAAGCTCTGGTAGTTTCCCACCTTCCCTTTCCTACTGGGAGCAGGAGCAGACCCAGAGGTCCAAGGCTTGGGATCCGTTTCCATCTCGACTTTCCTTTGCTGCTTAAAAATCCCTGTCTTCAGGAGGACTGGGAGATCTGAAAGATTTGGTATTTATTTGGTAAAAAAAAAGGTGATTAAGTGCTCTGTCTCCCTGTGATGGTTGTTCCCAGGCCTGCAAGGAGAGGAGCTGGGATCAGTTTAATTCCTGGAGTTGAAGGCACTCAAATTGTCTCCACAGATTATTCCATGTCCAGTCTGGTGTTTTCAGCCAGGTGCTGTGAAAAGGGTTATGGGTTAAAAAATGAAACCAAGGCAGGTACTCAAAGCAATACCTTTATTTCAGCTACTTTTTTCAACAGCTGTGGGAAGGAGTTTGCCTGGCAAGGACTCTTCCTGTATCCTTCATACAAACAGTTCAGGATGGGAAACTGAGGGAGTGGGAAAGGAGGAATGGGATAAAAAGATGGTTTTTGTTGAATTTACCTTTCCACTGTTCTATCAAAAATTTTTTAGGCGAAAAAAAGAACCCAAATCTCCTAAAATATCAAATATTGCTGATTTTTTCTTTTTTTTTTTTTCTTGCAGAAAAGGCTCCTTTTCTTCACAGTTTTCCTCTCTATTTTCCAGAAATGACAGTGCTATGAGATGGCAATTTCCAGCCATGGAATTCCAGCTCAGCAAATTCCAAACATCCCACCATTTTCAAATGGGAAACACACATTCCCAGCCACGCTGGATGTTCTTATAAAGAGTATTGGTATTAGTGCAGAGGGGTAGCTGTGGCTCTTCCAGCTCTGTGCCTCTGGAAAAGCTTTCCCAGGTGGAGATGCTGCTATTTAATTCTGGAATTGTGCTCTCAAAACGAAATATTGCATGAAATGGAACAAAACTGGAATTTTGGGTTAATGTTACTGGGGGTCTACACAGGGTTGCAGAGCTGGAGTTGAAGCCTTGTGGGTGCTTGTGCAGCTCGTAGCACCTTGGAACAGTCACCTCCACCCTCGCTGGGCATGGACAGACAACCCTTATAGATCCATAACCCTTCCTGGACTATGCAAAGATTCCCAAATAGCAGGAAGAATGACATTCCTTATTTAGCACCCATATAACTGATCCTTAGGTATAATTAAAATTTCTTTTTTAAAGGAGAGAAAGGAATTAAATTTTTACTATTAGCCTGGCAAAGCCTTCAGGGGTGTTACTGGGGGTTGTTACTGAGGTGTTACACAGGGTTGCAGAGCTGGAGTTGAAGCCTTGTGGGTGCTTGTGCAGCTCGTAGCACCTTGGAACAGGCACCTCCACCCTCACTGGACATGGACAGACAACCCTTATAGATCTATAATCCTTCCTGGACAGTTTAAAGATTCCCAAATAGCAGGAAGAATGACATTCCTTATTTAGCACCCATATAACTGGTCCTTAGGTATAATTAAAATTTCTTGTCTAAAGGAGAGCAAAGGAGTTAAACTCTTGCTGCCAGCTTGGTGGGGATGTTACTGGGGGTCTACACAGGGTTGCAGAGCTGGAGTTGAAGCCTTGTGGGTGCTTGTGCAGCTTGGAACAGTCACCTCCATCCTCACTGGGCATGGACAGACAACCCTTACAGATCTATAACCCTTCCAAGTGGAACTAGGTGTGCACTTCTACGAGGGAAGACTCTACTGCATCTACCAAAGCCTCGCGCCCGGAGCCGGCGAGCGGCTACTCCAGGGCCGGTTTGATGAGGTGCCCGTTGAAGATGATGTAAACATCAGACTCCTCGCTGTAAATGGCGTTTTCCCTCTCCCTCTTGAACATCCTGACCCAGACCTCGTCGCCCTCCTGCAGGTCCAGCATGAGGCTCTGGCTCTGCATGATGCTGCGCTCGCTGGGCTGGGCGTATAGGATGGCCTCCTCCCGCTCGTTCCTCATCACGTGCACGTAGGTCTCCTTGTAGTTCCACGTGTGCACGTTGAGGCTGAAGTAGTAGACCCCCGGCACGTAGCAGAAGAACTTCCCCGTGAACATGTTGAAGTGCTGGTAGAGGTTCACGAACTCAGTGTCGAAGGTGACGAGCTGGAAGTAGTCGGAGCTGTGCAGGGGTTTCCTCCGGCCCACCGAGAAGGCGGCGAAGAGCTGCTTGCAGGAGTGGCCCTGAGGGCCTGGCTGCCCTTTCTGGCCCTTCCTGCCGTTCAGGCCGCGTAATCCTCTCTCTCCAGCCTTGCCAGCTGCTCCAGGGAACCCTTTCTCTCCCATCTCGCCCTTCTCCCCTGCGAGGAGAAAGGAAAACCTCGTGAGATACAAGCGGGAAAACCTCGTGGAGCCGAGCTGCAGGAACGCCCTGAGGGAGACAACGAGCAGAGGAGGTGCTGGGGCACTGTTTTCCCAGTGCAAATAGTGGTCAAACATCAGCACTTTCCCATTTTTCAGGAGGATAAAGCCGGGGGAAACTTGGCTGCACCGAGCCGATGGTGCTGATGTTCCGTGTCCAAGGGTGGAACTCCATGGCCTGACCACAGCAGGGACATGAACCCAGCGCTCATCCCCCACCCCCTCGGTGCAGAGACGGGGGGAAACACAAGTTTTTGGTTCTGCTGAGGCCTGATTTGAGCCTGGGAGAGATGGTTGGGTCTTGTCTGTGCTCACAGGACTCCTGGAACACCTCCTGCATTTCACACTTTGCTTTTATTTGTCTGCCCTGCTGAGACAAGAAATGCACCGTGGAAAAAAACCTTTCCCCCCCCCCCCCAGTTTTTAAACCATTTAGTAACTCAGTGAGAACGTTTGAACCTGAGTTTTGGTGTGAGCTAACATGAACTCCCAGGATTTGGGGTTTTGATGGATTAGAGACTTTTGCACCCCTCATTTTGGGTGGACACGCTGGTGGAGGAGGGAGGAGCAAGGAAGGCAAAGGCTGCCATGGGGGTGGTTGGCTGGACCCACCTTTGAGGATGGTGATGTCTATGGTGGGCTGGACTTTGGGCACAGAGTAGGGGCTGCTGCTCATCCTGGTGTGCCTGGAGGAGAGGATGGACACGGGCTGCTCCGAGGGGCCGCAGCAGCGCACGCACGACAGGCGCCTGGGGGGGCCCTTCTCCAGCTCCGCTCCGACGTTCCCCACGGACACCAGGAGCAGCAGGAGCACCACCCTCATCTTCAGCAGGGCCAGCTGGACCAGCAAAGGAACAGGAATTATTAACACAGCGATTCCAATCAGAGCCATCTGTCGGTGTTACCCCGAGGTGCTTTTCTTGGGGTTAATTATTAGCTGAGCTCGGAGTGGCACCGGGAGGCTCCAGGTGGGAATGGTGGCCCCATGTCCCGCTGTTTACAAGCAGTGGAAAAGGCAACCCCTGTCCCTCATTACCTGGAATTACCTGACAAGAGACATCAGGTAAACAAAAGAAGGAAAAAAAAAACCCCACCCAAACCAAACAAAAGCTGCTGAGAAGCTCCAGCTCTTCTGGAGGTGCATTCGCTGCTTGGCTGCTCTTGGAACAGCCCCTACAAAAGGTTCTGGGTAAAAGACACCCACAAAAAAAGCCACAAAGTGTTGCTCTGTTGGTTTGTTGCACCAGCATCCTGCAAAATTCAAAATGAAAGGCAGAATATGCAACTTTATTTCAATATAGAGCCTAAGCTTGTGGGGTTTTTTTTAAGAAAAAAACCTGAAGAAAAATGAAACTAAAAGAAACCAAAAGCATTTCTCTCTTCAGACATTCTCCTGCAGGCTCTGGCTGGAAACCTCTTTCCAGGAGCCTCTTCCCAAGAAGACTCGTGGTTCTGACCATGCCCCCCCCCTTTCCCAGCAGAATTCCTGTGTGGACTTTCCCTTTTTATTTTCAAATGCGTGGAATGCAAAGCCAAAAAAAAAGGTCAAAGCAAGGTGAGATTTGCTCTGCACAACCACTGGGTTCTGAGATGCTCTGTTGCATTTTCAGCTGCTGCTGGTGAGCTCTGAAAAGCCCCGAGCAAAACACAGGGAGGAAATGTTGGACACAGGGCAGTGATGGGAATTTTCTCTGGTTCCCAAACCCTAGGAAGGGATTGGAGCTGGAGACAGGCAACTGCCTCCTGGTTCCATGTGTAATTAGTGTCATCCCACTGATTGCAGTGGTGCTTCATCCAGGGCAGATTTTTTTGGATCGATGCCTTTATGGAGCTTCTCCAAGGTCCAATTAGTGAGATGGACTTGTATCGACCTCAGGCTGGGAACAGCTCTCACAGCTCCTCTTCTACCAGCTTGAATTCCTGGAAGAGAGGGGGGAAGGTGGGATCTGGATGTCCTGGATTTCAGGAATCGCTCCATGAACACACAGGTCCCTCCTGCAGAGGGAGGGAGGGAGGGCATCCTGCCCTGGGGCTGCTCAGAGGCTTCACTGGGAACAAAATGAGCCAGGTGGGAAAATAGAGAGGGAAAAAAAAGTGTCAGTATAGGCAAGGATTGTCTCAGCATTCCTGGGAGATGTTTTCTGCTCGTTCTTACCTGCCCCTGTCATTCACACCTTTTATTACTTGGTGTAATGCAGCTCCCTGGAAAGCCCATAAAAACTCATTAGCAGCAACATAATAAGGACTTTCCCTCTGCCAGCAGTGCAAGTCCTTTCATCAAATCCCTCAGAACTTGAAATATCTTCCTATTCATGATTGTCCCTCCTTCCAGGAGGGATCAATACTCCTTTTCTATCGGCGTTCAGGGCTTGAATTTCATTTTCATTAAGTCCTTTCTAATTTCCATTCACTCCTTAAGCCATCTTTCTGCTGCCAGCTAGGAACAGAAAAGTTTAAATGGACAGAAAAGTCAGGAATAACCAGCCTGGGTGTGACCAGAGAAGGATGTTGGACTGCAGGGAGGATTTGGGGTTTCTGGGGTGTCCTGTGGAGTGATTTAGGTTTGTGAATATACAGAATGTCTACGGAAGACCCAGTGTCTTAATCTGTGGGAAAGGAGGCTCAGAGGGGAACTTATTGCTCTCTAAAAGTACCTGAAAGGAGGGGGGAGCCGTGGAGGTTGGAGCTCTGCTCCCAGGGGACAAGGGACAGGACAAGAGGAAGGTTCAGGTTGGACACAAGGAGGAATTTCCCCATGGAAGGGGCTGCCCAGGGAGGTTTGGAGTCCCCACCCCTGGAGGTGTCCAAGGAAGGCCTGGATGTGGCACTGAGTGCTCTGGGCTGGGGGACAAGGTTGGATTGGATGATCCTTGGGGGCTTTTCCACCCTCAGCGATTCCATGTGCACTCAGAGCCCCCGGCACTCGGGGCCAATCCATCCTCTTTGGGATAAAAGCCCTTTAGCCCCTCCCAGGAGTGTGGACAAACAATAACCTGGGATAAAGTCCAGGCTGTTTGATCCCATTATCAGGACATTAAAACAGAGCATGTAATTGCTGGTGATACCTCCATGAAGGAGAAAGAACCTTCATTATTCACAACAACAGAAGGGAAAGAATTCATAAACACGAAGAAATCACTCTATATTTTTACAGGCTGTTATTTTCCCTGAGATGAAGGGCTTTCCTAACTTTAGAAGTGGCTTGAGGGAGGAAAAAAAAAGCCAGTCTGGGTGAAAACTCAGTGTTCAGGTTGTGCACAGTTCACATTACAGGAATTCAAGCCCCCACTGAAGGATTTGTGGCCACTTGAGTGATTCAGGAAGAGCAATAACTCAAGTTATTGGCTAGAAATTCCATTTGGAAAAAAAAAACACAAAAAAAAGCAAATGATGCAACAATTCAGTCAATTCAGGGCATCCTGGAGCTGACACCTCCACACCACAGTTTCCTTCAAAATGTAGGGAAATTCTTACATTGTTGTGGTAGAAACATGGATTTGGTTGAGATATTTTGTGGTCAGGTGAAAACTTGATGTAGGTGAGTAAAGAGAGGTTCAAGTTTACAGCCTGTGCACAGAAAACAAGGACAGGAGAAGGAAAACAGGAAAGAGATGGAAAGGAAGGAATCTGAGAGGACTGCAAGGAAAGAATGATGAATCCTGGAGTGGTTTGGGTTGGAAGGGACCTTAAAGCTCATCCAGTCCCACCCCTGCCATGGGCAGGGACACCTTCCACTAGCCCAGGTTGCTCCAAGCCCCATCCAACCTGGCCTTGGACACTTCCAGGGATAAATTCAGCAGGATGGGATTGTGTCTGACAGACATCCAGCACAAAAGCAGAGCTGGGGGGAAGGGAAACCTCAGACCAGAGAAATGATGGGACAGGAAAGGAAAGAAGCATGGTAAGAATTTCCCTGTAACCAGAGCGTGTCAGGCTGGAGGAAACAATGGTTGGAGCCAAATTTCAGAGGAGAAGCAAAATATAACCCTTGTGGTGGGGAAGTCAAATCAGGCACTTTAAAAAATGCAAAAAGAATGAGGTTCAGAATTGAAGTTCTGGGAGGAAAACTGAGAGGTTGTTTTTAACTGTTTGTTTTTTCACTTAAAGCCAATTATTGTGACCAGGTTGGACAGGGCTTGGAGCAACCTGGGCTAGTGGAAGGTGTCCCTGCCCATGGCAGGGGGTGGCACTGGATGAGCTTTAAGGTCCCTCCCAACCCAAACCATCCCAGGATTCATCATTCTTTCCTTGCAGTCCTCTCAGACTCCTTCCTTTCCATCTCTTTCCTATTTTACTTCTGTCCTTGTTTTCTAAGTGAAAATCCAGCCTTTTTGCACCCAATTCAAACAATGCCCAAACCAGGGTCACTTGTCCCCCCCAGCAAAATCCAAGGCTGACCAGATGATTAAATAGTGTATTTTTGCTCTGCACTGACCCTGGAAGTACCTGACTTCAATCTAATCCATCAAGCTTTTTATTTACATATTTTCAACCTGCTATGAATTACCTGCTTCAAAAGAGCTGTTTTTCCAGTGGCACCTGGCATTCCTGGTGTGCCAGCCAAAAACCCCCAATTCCCACCCTGCAGGGCTTTAGGGATCCCCCAAACCTTGGCTGAAGAAGGGCAGAAACCATTAGTTCTGCTTCAGGGAGTTAAATGATGTGATTCTTTCTTCTCGTGTGCAAGTCCTGATTTAAATATCTTTCCTTGACACTATTTGAGCTGCAGAGAGCACCTTGATTGATTTTTTTGGGATGCTGATGGAGTTTAATCTCGGAGCTCAAGGCAGACAGTTTGTGTCTGAGGCACATTTGTTCATGCAAAGCTTTTTAATCTTCCCCTGTACCCGAAGGATTTCCATGCTCTGATCCAAAGGAACACATTTGGGCAAGAGAAATGATAAGAAATCACTGAAATAGCTGCGAAAAACCACCTTCATTTGCTCTGCAACAGAGAAAATGAAGCAGGAGGGCAAAGCAAGTCAGCCTGGAGGCTGCATCCAAAGATTTTCCCTGTGGTTAGCAACGTGGAATTTGCAAGTTGAACCCCAGTCTTGCCTGGTCTGTTGGAACCTCAGGCAGCCCCTGTGGGATTTACAGGTCATGCCAAAGGTGTGGATCTGCCTCAGTCTGCCCCATCCCATGTTTTCCCTGGGAGCAGTGGGAGTGTGTCCTTTCAATCCACCCCATCCCATGTTTTCTCTGGGAGCAGTGGGAATGTGTCCTTACCTTGCAGGGAAGCTGGAAGGATCAATCCCCCAAAGAACTGTGCTGAGCTGTGAGATCCAGAGTTCACGAGGCAGGAACTGCTCTGGGATGCATCCCTTTAAATTCCTGACAATATTTCCCTTCCCGTTATTCCTAAGGTTTGGCTGGGAAAAGCAACCTCTGACTCTCTCTGCTTTAAATTCCCAAACACCAGCAGCCACTGCCCCTTGGAGTCAGGGACAAACCCCGGCTCAAAACCCACGAGGACACTTCAGATTAAAATCTCCCTTGAGCTGCAGAGATGGAAAACACAGGGATAAAAAACAGAGATGTATGTGTCATCATTCCAGAGATGGAAAATATTCCACTTTGCTGCTTTTGTGTCTCCTCTCAAGCCTCAACCTCCTCACTGCTCCGGAGCTCCTTGGATCACCAGCAGCAGGAAACGAGGCATCCTCAGGGCCGGGAATGTCTGGACGTTGGGTTTCCTCTTGGAAGTGATTTGTTTGGGGGTTTTTTAAATTGTCTTCCCCGTGAGGGTGTAAAATTTCATCATGAGCCACTTGCTGTGGAAAAGCCCAGAAAACCGAAGGAGTTTGTGCATTCCCAAGGTGAAGCCGTGGCAGCTTCCGAGCGCCACAAAAGCCTCTCCCACCCCACGGCCTGGGGATGCTTGGATGGAGCTGAGCATCAGGAGCCTGTCTGCAGCCAGGAAGGGATCTGAGAACTCCCAGACAAGGATATTTGGATGCCAGAAAGGAGCTTGGTTT